AGGAAGCATTAAAGAGGAATCTAACATCACATGTCTTCATAGTATTCATTCAATACGTGAAATCAAGTTATGAAATTGGAGGACATGATTTCATTGATTAATTGGAGTTAAATGTTGTTGCCCATTATGTGAAGGGATTGAATCCCACATCGAATAAAAATGTAAACATAAACCAATTTATAAAGTATTGGGTTACTACTCGTAATAAGGTTGACTTTTTAAGATGTAACTCAATTCTTAATATGGTATCAAAGCTCATTAAACTCTAACGAGTAATTCGATCCGGTTAAGACTTCAAAAGTGAGTATACGGATTTCAAAATTGATCTGCTCAAACGAGTCAACATCTTGTGGGGGCATGTTAAAGGATAGAATTCCATATTGAATAAAGATGTAAACATAAATCAACTTATAAAGGATTTGGTTACTTCTCTTAATAAGGTTGACCTTTTAAGATGGAACCCCAATTCTTGACATATTATTTGCCAGTTAAAAAAAAAACCCACACACGCAAAGTATCCTGACAATTTTTTCTTCAAAACCGAAGTTGACATTCACCTTTGACAAGCTTGGAAATTTGATTTCTTATTTTATTTTTCTTTTATGGTAGATTGTGTGCAAAAATTGGGATGAAACCACTTCAAAAATATATAGAAATCAAAAGGATTTTTTTTTTTCATGAAAACAATGTGTTCAACGAAATTCCCTAATGAACCAAACGTTGACTTTTTTGCCCAAATTCGCATGACACATTCCTATGTAGACATATAACATATTTGTGTAAAAAAATCCTCACTTGCAATGAAATTAGAACGATTTTGACATGAACGTAACATGGGAAATGGAAGTTGTTGTGTCCCCTACCTGCGTCCTTTGCCTGATTCCCCTGCTTCCCCTTGTTGTGGGGTTGCATCCCTCCTGTTGCGTCTCTCTTTATTCTTATTTTTATTTTATTTTAAATTTTATTTTTAGGTCATAAGTAGTTTACAACCACCATTCCTAATTAAATTAGCATAAAGTTGCGTGTGGATATATTTTTAAATACTTTTTTTGTTCGTTCTCAGGTATAAGGGAAATATTTAACAAAATGAGCAAGGAAATGATATTGAAGGAAGATAAAAGATCAAGTGCTGAACAAGATACATCATATACACAATGAGTATTGTTAACCCTTCTTTAAGCCTATTTGGATTTTAAAAAAAACGAAAAAACATGAAAAATTGTAAAAAAAGAAATTAATGATAATAATAATAAATAAATATATATACTGAAATTTTTTGAAATTGTTTATGTTTCGTAAATTGTGAATAGGTGATGGGATTGTTCTTTGCTAATTTGATACTTGTTTATATGAGATCGTATTATGTCGAGCACAATAGTCATGTTACTTATTATGTATGTTTGGATTGGTTACATTGATAGAATATGTTGAATGTCTTTATAAGCCAAGATCATAATGCATAGTATAGCCACTTAACCTATTGAAAGGATAAGTTTGGGGTGGTTGATCTGTTGTTGGGAGCTATTTAGTATGTGTTGATTCCTTGCATTTTAATAATTTGAGTGGAATATTTTTGGCTAACAAGTAGAGATTTGATTTCAATTACTTATCCAAAAAAATAAAAGGCATTGCACTAGCCGTGACATGTAGGAAAAATTTACCTACATTGTTGTGGGAATCTAGTCTTGAATAATCTGGCCCTATTTATCACCAATATCTTGGAGACAATCTACCAAAAAAGAAGGTTGTCTGCAATATAAAATGAAAACTACCTTCAAAAATCAAAGAAAAAATTCAAAAAATAGAAG